TGAAGAATCGGAGACCGAGTCGGATGATGGAGTCTCAGTTCAGAAAGCCGTGGAATCAGCCTTAAATATATCAGTCCCCAAGCAACCGAGAAAGAAGAAACAGAGGGCAAGTGAAGGAGTGGCACGGGAAATTCCTTCTGAAGGTATACCCACTGAATTTTCTGACTTATTATCTGGCAATCTCGATAATGAAGTTAATATAGCAAAGTATAAGGCCGATTTTGCCAATAGAAAATTCTGTCCTGTGGTATCTGTGGACTTAGAGGGTCTGAGGAAAAATAAACAGATTGAGCTTGATTTAAGTGACCCACTGCAGCATTATTCGAATTGGTTAATCATTGGTGGTGAATACTGTCCCGAAGTGGTTAAAAGATTCTACTGTAATATGGAATCAGTAGAAAAATATGATGATAAAGACAATCTCATAGAAAATTGTCTGAAAGTTACACTGAGAGGCAGAGTTTTTAAACTCACCAGTGCCAAAATAAATGAGCTGCTAGGGACTCAAGATTTTGTGCGAGGTGGTGACATGAATGAAGTAAAGGCTTATAGAATTTTGATGCAGAACAGTGATTATCCCGGTGAGCTGAATTTTCCACCTAAGCAGATGTGTGATTTCTATAGGATCATCCATTACATCTATTCTAGGTGCATGGTAAACAAATCCGGTAGTTTCTCACATCTCACTCAGGATGATTATCTTCTTCTAGCCCGGATTATTAGTGGGGAAAAGATTAATATTGGGGATCTTATTTACTCTGAAATGAAGGACTTTGTTCTTAACAAGTCCAGATCAACCCCAATTCCTATCCTCAGCTGGCCACCTATTTCCTTCAGGCACATAACATTGCTCCATTTGAGCCTGGGGAAATCAAGACTAAGGTTCCTGTTTTTGGCCTCACTCAGCTCCACAAAATGAGGATCTCTGTTCCCTTTACACCATCACAGAAAGTATCTCAGAAGGATAAGGGAAAGCAACCTGCTGCTAGTACATCTCGGACCCAGGATGAAGCTGAATCCACTGCTGCCCCATCTCATACCCCTGGTCCATCTTTTATGGAGAGATCCCTCAGGGAAATGTTTCAGGCTGAGCTTCGGGCATTTGAGACCAGAGTCTACTCCACTGCCAGAGACTATGGGGAAGTTTCTGACCGGAAGTTTGATGGCATCTCTAAGATTCTGGATCTTCACCAACAAGCTATGGTGGTTTTGGAAAGAGAAGTCACCGAGAGGTTTAATTCAGTGGACAAGGAACTCCAAGAGCTTAAAGGCTTAGTTACCTCTCTCTGCCAGCACTTCACTCCACCTAGCACAAGCTTCAGCTATGAGGATCTCCTCTTCCATCCTCCCTCTCCACCGCACCCTGAGCCTGCACCTCCTTCCTCTCCTTTACCCACTTCTCCTATTTCCACCACTTCTCCTTCTGTTCCATCTACTTCTATTTCAGTCCCTACTACTCTTGCTCTTATCACTGTACCCCAACCTGTTCCCTCCTTTCATTTTCCATCTATTTCTCCACTTTTTCCTCTTCCTCCTCTCCCTATTCCCCTGACCATTCCTTCGGTTCCTACCCCTTCTGATGCTGACAAAAAGGGGGAGAAGAAAACTGATGATATTTCGTAGCTTATATGGTTTTATGAGTTGCTTTTTGGTTCTATGTCATGACTTTATGTTATCTCTTTTGTTATCTCCTTTTGTGTATCTGGATAGTGTTTTTATCGATAATATGTTCTTGATATTTATCTGATCTTTTCATACTTTTTGAGAATATAAAACTGGTTGATGTTCTCTCTGATAGATGATTTATAACTTGTGTTTTGTCATCATCAAAAAGGGGGAGAATGTTAGGATTATAGTTTTGATGATAACAAAGTCAGAATATCAAGGTTAAGTATTTTGATCGATCAACTGATCGAGCAATCGTTTATCGCTAAGGTTTCAGATAAATGACCAAGTGTAAATCAGGTCTATAGTAGGCTTTTTGGATCGAAGAACTATTCGATGAGTAATTTATCGATAAAGTGATCGATAATCGCTAACGTAAAAATCACATAAGAGTATGGTAAATTATCGATAAGCTGATCGATAATATCAGGTAAACAATCGAGTTACTGATAAGAGACCCAAATCTGAAGTGTATTTATCGATCAAGTTATCGATAAATCAGTCATCAATAACGACTTCGATAAAAGGTAACACAATCTACTTGTTCTGCCCATTAGTTCTGTTACAAATTTATCGATCATATTTCCGATCATTTGTTTATCGATTACGTGTTCGAACTTTATGCTCTAACTCTCTGAATGCAGGTGATCAAATTCACTGATGGATCGATAACCTTATTGATCATAAAATTATCGATCACATGATCGATAATCAATGTCCTTATCTACTCTTACTCAGTTTTGCTACAACTAAATTATCGATAACATTATCGATAAGTTTAACTTGTTTGCTTAAATAAGTTTTCACATAACGTGATCGATAAAGAGTCTAAGGATTGATTATTCGCATTAAGTTATGGTGAACTATTTTTCGATCAAGTAATCGATCACTGGTTTTTCGATAATATGATCGATCATTCAATTTCCCGGAATTCATGTTTTCACAAAACGTGATCGATAATCATTTCCTTTACCTTACAGGAATAAACTTCTTTCTTCACTTTATCGATCACTTGTTCGAATGATCATTGATCGATCAACTGTTCGATCATTTCAGATAGCCTGTGTCTTTCATTGAATATATACATAACCATGTTTTATCGATAACATTATCCATCATACATTTATCGATAAGATGTTCGATCATCAATGACTGAAGCTTCATTTCAATAACATTTGAATTATCGATAATCTGTTCGAACAAACATGTGTTCGATCACTTGTTCGATCATGGAACGATCTCCTCTTTCTATGATAATTCTTAGAGTCAATGATCCAACACTTGATCGATAATTTTGGTGATCTAATTCGAAAAGTCTTCATTCTGTTTATCGATAACTTGATCTATCATCAAGTAATCGATCATCTTTTCGATCAAACTAAACCAGAATGACTTTCTGTTCTTCTTACTGATAAATGATTTCGTCACAAATCTTTGAATGATAAATTAGCTTTCTTTCTATGTTCAAGATTAAAGCACTCACCACAAAACTCTCATTTGTTCAAAGCTTAAAATATGCAGATTAATAAAACGAGTGCAACGGCTCTTCAACGGGATTAAGTAGACTGCGACCTACAGTGTCAGAAGCTCAGACGCATTAATGGCGGAGCCGTTGAAACCAGCGAAACACGCAAACGAAGTCACAACGGCTAGAAGCTCTTCCGTCTAACGGCTACTTAACGATATCAACTATAAAAGGCGCGAAGAAGCATTAATGAAGAGATTGAATATCGGAACTACCAACTGCGATCATTTAGTTACGCATTCAATACTCTGTTTTCACGTTACTACCGAGCATCAGTGTTTATCATTAAATTTACTCTGTAAGAGAGCCAATTACTACTTTTATTAAAACTTGAGTGACACTCAAGAGTGTGGACTCTTGAGAGGGGTTGTATCCTTACGGGAGTAAGGGGGAGTGATTGAGCGATTCAATTACTGTACCGAGGCACCAAGAGCCCTGTCGATCTTGGAAGATAGTTAAATACCCAGAGGTGTTCTGGGGACTGGAAGTAGGTCACGTGGTTTAGACCGAACCAGTATAAATCTTGTGTCTCCTCTCTGCGGTTAAAATTCTCCATACTCTGACTCTCTGTTTTTATTCATTACTTACACGCTTTTGATTGTAAATTTTTGTAACTCACCCAATTCACCCCCCTCTTGGGTGAGATTGTTTCTAACATTGAGGCTTTTTGGAGTAATTTTATATTTTTATTAAAGTAAAAGTAGGACCCACCTTAAGAAACTCCTCTTTCATATCATCTTTTTTCTCTTTCCACGGTAGCTTTTGTCTAAAAGCTACAAATTTTGGCTTTTGTTTCAATGGAGCTTTTTTTCAAAAGCTCATTTGCTCTAAAGTCAATCCAAACAATACCTCACCCTTAAATAAGCCACTAACTGACGTCTCACTCTTCCCAAGGCATGTTTTGTCCTCCCAACAGTGTTCCAAACACACCCTCAGTGGTCTTGGACCCATCAGCTTTAATTTCTTATTGATAACTCATTGTTGTCAGTTGCCACTCAGCAAATAGTTGTCCAAGAATGATCTGGTAGGTAATATCTAGTCTGCCTAAAAAGTTATTTGGGAGTTTTTGCACAATGCCTATGGTCTGAGCTCAGCAGATGCTGCGAACTAGATACCCTCCTCTTTCAGTACATTACATTATGTCCTTGCTATGCACTCTTGTTAGACATACAAGTAGACTGGCTGCTACCACCATTATGCATAATTATTTTTCAGATTGAGAAGATAAAAGCGTTTGCCACACTAACCAATTTTCTTTGAGTTTCAATTTTGAGCTGATATGACTGAAGAAACAAATAGGTGAATTCAATTTATGCAATAAATTCATGAACATAGAAATGCGACACAGCTAGATCTAGTTTTATGAAGTGAGGTTCTTGTATCAAAACGGTATTTTAGAAAAAAGCAATTTGAATGAATGCACCAGCACTCAAAACAACGGCTAATAGTTAAAACCAGGTTCTGGCCAGGCGAAGACCAATGTATATAAAAGGCAAACAGCTGGGAGATAACGATGATCCAGGGAGGCAAAGTGACTAACAATAAATGGAACATCAAAATGTGATATGCGCAAGTCCGACAATCTACTTACTTCATGAAAATGAATCTGGAACTCTAGAATACACTTTAGAATGTATTCGCTGCTAGCTACAGTGATGTTGGTTATATTTTTCATATGCAAAATATTATTAGGAATAAACTACTCAAAATTTGAAGGTCACAGTCTCGCACCACTGAGTGACATATATGACTCAGAGTAATACAATTTCTTAATGATATGAATAGACAAGATTATGTTTGTTTGATTTACCTCAATCCATGCTGCTAGTCTAGGCCTGCCTCCTGTGATATCATGATTCTTCACATCCATCAGAAATGGTTGAAATCTTTCAACAAAGGGAGCGTAAGCAATATCCACCTGAAGTTTAAACAAAAGAATGTAATCTATATCAGGATGAAAACGAAGAGAAAATAATGCATATAACCACGAATTGGACAAGTCCATACTCACCAAACTGAATTGGCCAAGAAAGAATGGACCATCAAATTTGGAGAGAGCAGTTTCGATGTAATCAAATGCAGTACCTATAGCATTATGAGGTTTTTGTAATCATCAACCAAAGGAACACCAGGAAGAAAGAAAGTATCACGTTACCTGCTTCTGTCACATTTACATCTTCTTTAAATGAAGAAACGATAGTATCATAAAAAGTGCCAGTGTAAGATAGCAAATCTTCGGCAAACTCCCTCTTTGCAGAATCCTGTTTACCATATAGAAACATTTAATTTAAATTTTGGATATGAAAAATGTTAATTAATCTCCTGGGCCTTAACGTTTCACTCCATTTTTAGTTTGGTCCATAAAGTTTATGAGTCCTAGTAGTTTTAAAATCTTTAATTTGGTCCAGGTCCAGGTCATTAAACTCTCATCAGGATGCCATTAAATTTTTTCAACGTGACCAAACTAGCGCTATCTTGAAAGTTTGAATACGCATAATTCAAGCAAACAAAAGATATAGAAGGTGACAGTGAAATTCATTAGTGTATGTGGTATGTGAAGCCAATGAGGTTCAATGGCTGAGGTGAATCAGCATCAATCATGCATATTCAAAGCGCTGATAAGCAAATGATTGGCTGCGCCAATGAGATTTAAAAGCATATTGATGAAGATTAAATGATAGAGGTCAGGGACTAATTTAAAAATTTTAAATTGGAATTTAAACTTTTAACTCTAAGGACCAAAATAAAAAATCTAGACACCAACTAAGTTATTTAACCACCTAAAATAATACCGTAAGAAATTTTGCATCTTACATCAGGGAGAAGTGAGGGCCCTTCGAAGTTACTGTCAATGTATTTCATCAAATCAAGACTCTCTCCTCTGACTTCATTATTGTGTTCCAAAGCTGGAACCTGGATTTAGAAAGACATAAATAATAGTCAGGAGAATGTGTTATGCCTTAATGCAACTATTTCAGAAAATTTTGCAGAAGCACATAAACAATGTTATTTAGTTTCTTCAGTGGTTTTTTTTAATGTTGTTGCATTTTAACCTTTGATTTGACTTCAAACATAGATAATGTCATGATGATTTGCTTTAGAAAAAAAGAATCATTATCATGGGCACCTTGTTTGGTGGGTATACTTTCTCCTTATACCACGCAGGCCTATCATGTAGATCAATAGGGACGAGTTGTATTTTGCCCTGCAATCCCTGTATGAAAGTAAAGAAGGTGTGATTATCCTATAAATAAACAAATGATGGAGAGCACATGAATATAATTATTCATTTCAACAGCAACAGAGGAGCTAAATGAAGGTGATCAACCAGAAATAAATAAAGGGAATGAAATCCATTTAGCAGAAGAAATTTTCTCTCGATCATATTCCAAATAAATGAGGGGAAGGAAAATCAAGACAAATTGCCATATCAAATATTTAATTATAGTTACTCGTTTCAAAGATGGTAAGCAAAGGACAACATCCGACCTATCCGTTTATTTATTTTCCTTCACTTTCGGTACAGATTTGGTGGCAAGAATAAATAGTATCTTCATTTTCATTCCATCCATATTCCTCTTGGTTTTCTAAACCAGGTAGCACAAAATGATCCTTCCCAAAATTATCCCTGACGTTTTCACTTCTACAAAATATTTTAGAAAAGAAATGCAATAAACAAAATTAGACAAGAGTCCTTTAAACAACCTTACAATTACGGGTGATCCAGACACGCTGTGCATAGGGGCAAGTGTAAGAGATATACAACCTTCATCCACACACAAAAGAAGTAAAGACGGAGATTTCCAGAGATCAGATATGAGAAAATAAATATTACCATGACAATGTTTTTGTACAAGGAATGAAGCAAATACAGAAGTGTAAACTCTAAACAACCGTAAAATGAGAAGAAAAAAAATAATTCCAAGTTTTGGGCACAAAGGAAGTAATTAACCTTGTTGTCCCATCAAATAAGTCAGGAGGGGCTGATGTCGAAGTAAGGGCTGGTGGAAGAGCCTCCTGCACACTTCATAGCAGAGAAATTCTATTGAAACAAGTTTAGAAGACAGAAATCCAGTTTCACAGTAATTCAAGGGAAAATCCTATTTTGGAACCTAATTTATAGATAATCTCATCGCTTCCGAAAAGCTAATCTAAACATCCAAAACTCTCTCAAAAGTACTTGCAATACTGTCATTATATCTCATTTTCATCCAAAATTTAACGCTAAGTTTAACAAAATACTGATTTGTCACCCACTTACGTCCCAAGCCACATTTGCCATTTGCTTGCCAATAACTTCTCACAAATCAAAATGGAATAAAAGGCCGACATTGACACAGGACAAAATCGCAAGGAGAAAAATTGTAGACCCGGATTGGAAGTTAACCTAACCTACTTTGATATGCCAAATTATGGTTTTCCCATTCAAGTCAAGCAATGTGCTATCTGCTTGGTTGCTGACAATAAATATAATATGGCATCAAAATTGCGCTTGTATTTTGGAGTTTATCAAAATTGCGCTTGTATTTTGGAGTTTATCTTTCTCAGCAATCAAACAGAAAATCCCCCCACATACCTAGCTGCCATTGCTCTGGGTCTAGTAGGAGACAAGCCAGACGAATTGCTGATGACTTTAGATGAACGAAACTGAGGCTGAAGCTGAATTTTGAGGGAATAAGCGCGTGAGAATTTGATGGGTAACGTTTCAGAAGAAGAGGGACAACGTGGAGAAGGTAACGATGAGTCTCGCGTTGCAGGGAATGCAGAGGAAACACGAAGCAGCATAGCCATAACTAGAGGAGCTCCCTTGTGAACGTAGACGTGTGTGACATATGCGTCTTCTCTTTTATTATGTGCACAGGCGGAATATGTCAACGTGTGGCCATGAGAACCAACCGTTTTTCTCGCCTAGGGACCGGCAGATAAAGTTTAAGTGATATGTAATACTCCTACTATCCTTAATATAAGATCTATTTGATTAATTTCATTAAATTAAGGAAGTTAGGTAAATTAGTTAATCATAAGAAAAGTGACATATTTTTCCTAAAACACCAAAATCATCTTTTTTAATACCCCCTTTCCCTCTTCTACTTAATTATGGTTGAGAGAGTATCCATAGAGGTAATTTAGAGAAAATTGATAAATATGATAAATAAGTATTATATTTAGTACCAAAATCAACTCAAGAATTGGGTCATATATTAAAGACTATAGAGTATTATTTTTATAATTTATATTAAATTCTAGTACAGTCTTTATATAAGAGTTATTATTAATCTAGATAGATTAAAAAAGTATAATTTCTTATGAAAGCCAAAAAAAAAAAAAGAGAATTATATTGTATTTCTTCACTTGCATTGCAATACAATTATATATCCTATTTATAGGTATAGTTTAATATAGGTTACACTTGTACTTAAATATTAAATAGTAGACAATAAATCACATTAATATAAGTGGGAGATAAATTATAAGATTAAAAGAATAGTGGAATAATGCATAGTGAGAGTTGTGGGAATTACTTGATGAAGTTGAAGAAAAAGAGGGAGATTGACATTTAAATTTAATAATATTCAAAACACTACCCTTTGGATATCTATTATGCAAGAATATCCCTTGTTAAAAAACTTCAGTAAAGAAAAATCCTGTGAGACAAAAACCTAGTGAAAGAAAAAGAATACATATTCATTGATACAATATTTAGTATTGCCTCATTAAAAACCTTGTTAGGAAAACCTAGTAAAAAAACCATAGACAAGGAAAAAAGAAAGTGTACAGCATGTATTAACTTTCCTTCTTGACAATATCAATTGATATCTCTGAAATATGCTAGATTTTCATCTAAATGAATTTGCTACATATTAATTTCATACTCTTTTTAAATATCAGGAGACAAATACTCTATTTGGGATTACTAACATGTGGACCCTAAACAAAATCTAGAATCTGTATAGCCAATGAGATTAGTCTTAGGTACATTTAGATAAAATAATTCCATGTTTATAGTACCCTTTAGGTAGCGAAGAATGTGTTTAACTTTATTCCAATGTCTCCGTGTTGGTGAATAAATATATTTTACTAGTTAGTTAATAGCGAATGATATATCATGTCATATGTAACTAAACAAGATATATAAGCGCACTAATTGTATTAAGATATGGTACTTTTAGGCTAAATAGTTCTTCATCACCTTCTTAAGGTCTGAAAGGATTTTTTATTCACCTAGAAAGATCTTACAACCACTAGAGTATTTAAGACTTCTTTTGTATGAGTTACTTGATACATAAAAATTTGATTTCTCAAGTATTCAGTTTGTCATCCAAGGCATAATTGTATTCTTTTTAAGTCCTTCATTTGAAATTCTTTCTTTAAGCAATTCACAAATTTTGGGAGTTTTTTGGGAGTTCTAATGATATTTATACTATCAACATAAACAACAATTAAAACAAACTAATTTTCAGATCTTTTCATAAAGTATATGAGCAAATTGAATCATTTTTATATCCTTCTTTCAATAGATATTGACTTGGTTAATCATACTACAAACGCCATGATTACTTCACTTCTTATAGAGACGTATTTAACATAATTATGTATTGTTCTCGATAACTTGAATTGTATGCTTCTAGCAACTTGAATTTCCTAAGAAATTTTATATATTTTGATCCAAAAATGGATGGTACGTGCTTAGATTATTTTAATCTTTGTAATATTTCATATATTAAATGATGTTCTTGCACATGCTTCTAGCATATTTGGGATCTTTCAAGAATTATAATGTAAATTTTACTGTTTAATAAGCCTTATGTATAGGTTATAACAATATTTAACATAGGCATATTTTGTTTTTCATACACTGCCAAATTATATATGCATAAATAATTACATCCACCATAAAATGATATGCCTTATCATAATCATCATCAAACTTCTATGACAATCTTTTTTTTTTTTTTGTGAATTCTATGAAGATCTTTATTTTCACATAAATGTTTGCATATCCCATAGAACTTTATATTTGTTGTATTTAGACTGTACATTGATAATTTTCACCTATTATTGAAAGAATATAATCCTATTTTCATTGCATCTTTTCTGTTTTACTTTTCTTTTTTGGCCAATTTCCTGCCCACTTTGCATGACAGATCTACTATAAGATCTTTTTTTTTTATCATGTGATATTATTATCAAAATTATTGTTGCAAATTTTATCTTTTCGACTCCATTTTTCTCTTATGACATAATCTATTAAGATCTCTTCCTTGCTTTTTAAATACTTAAACCTCTTCTTGGGTTTTGAAATTAGTTATATCTTGATACTCTTCTAAAGTACCCGCTTCCTCAAAATAAGTTTTAAACTTTATGCTGCTATTTTTCAAAATATTTGTATTAGAATCGATTAATCTCTTATGTTTCGGCCATATCTTACTTTCATTTATATAGTATGTTGGCTATTCTTGAAGAATCATCTGATTATTCAATAGATATCAATACATAATTCTTAATAATTTGTTGCATTATGTAATTAGGATTATCAAAGAAGTCATGCCAACAATAATTGGATCAACAAAATTTATGGTTCATTGTGCCATGTTTCTTAACCAACAGTAAACTTTCCAATTTTTATAACATATTATTGATTTTTATATGATGATATCCATTTACAAGATTAATTAAGCTGGGTGAGAAATCTATCTAACATCAATTCACACTTATATTCCAATAATCTTTTCCTCAAGCATTTGTCATACAAATATGACTCCCTTATTCATGTATTCCAAAAACATTGGCTAGCATATAATAGGCCAATAAACTATCTTTTGCTTAGAAACCCAAATACTTCTTAGTTTATATATAATTATAGATTTTTTTTTATATAAACAAAAGTTTAGGTGAGTTGGATTCTGATGGTTCACCAAGGGTAGAGCATGTATCTAGGCTCAAAGAGTACTTACAAAGGTACTTCTAAATCATCCATCAATAAGGTCTTCATATCGGCTACGAGATTCGATTCAATTGAGTTATCAATTTTAAACCCTTTAGAGAATTGAAGTTGTGATGTAAATCTATGACACATATTTTTCACCATTAACTCTTTGTCCGCCCTTAAAGGGAAAAATATGTATTAGTTCTTTAGAAACAATATAATTTGAGAGGAATATGAAGACAAATTCATTTTAATATATGATTAACATAATAATGAATAATAAATTATGAGCATCATATATTTAACTGGCAATATCTATAAAAATACAAAAATGTAGAAGATCCTTTAAAATAAACTTTTGGAAACAAAGGACAAATTGAACATACTGTTCAAAACTTATCAACATTCATTAATTCTCATAATAATTTGTCTCTCACAAATTACAATAAATTTAAAGACTGGCAAAAATTAAACATTATATAATCTTCTAGGCTTATGGTTATATCTCTTATATCTTTATAAATACTTTGGGTGTCTTTCTTCACAACTTATTATCTTGGGCATCATAATTATTTTTAATATTTTTATAATATCTTATGGTCTTTTTGGCTTCATAACCTTTTTTTAACATTTACCTTTAAAGAATTGATATATATATATATATATATATCTATTTATATGACTTATGGTCATATTATAACATTTGCTTATCATTGTATTGATCATATAGAGGTATTATTATTATTTTTTCTGTTATGGTTTAATAGCTAAGACCAAAGATCACTACCCTTCAATTATCAATTTTACTAATACAATGTGGTCATATTCATTGTTACTCTTAGAGACATGTTTCTTGCTTTTAATAGCACATCATCAATTTCTCTAAATATTAGTCTTCAAGAATATAGTGAAAATCTTTCAAAACTATCGAGCTCTTTTATGTCATGTGATATCTAAACCATCAATCTTTAGGACTTTGATATTTGTAATCATTATATTATCAAAGTGTCACAATCTTATAATGCAATTTATTACCATTACAAGATAGTCTTTTGTCAAAGAATCATTATCAAAAGTAATGTAGCTTCTAGTTATCTCATTTGAAAATTGAGAGTATTGTGGCTGTTCGCCTTTTAATAAATCTATAGATATCTAATTAATTATTACAAACATATATAAAAATAAAACTTAAACTTTAAATGATTAAAATCCTAATGGCTCAATATGATGAATATTAAATTTTTAGTTGAATCAATAAAATAGGTACCTTCTTTGAAATTGTAAGACCATCATTTCCTTTATATAATTTGGGAAAATCTTACCAAGATATTCAGATCAAACTATCTGCATTCGATGAACAAAATATCAGCATGTATCAATAAGATGTCATGAACTTATTTAATAGAGTATCATGCTGATAACATGTTATGAAATGAGTCATTCAAGAAAGTAGAGTAGAGAAGAGATGAAGACAAAAAAATAAGAAAACTATATTGAATCATGTAACATCCTAAATTTTATTTTCGAATTTAAGTAGCAATAATAATAATAATAATTTAACTAAAGTATTATTATTTAGAAAAAATTGAAATTTAAAAGTAAAATAAAATATAATAATATTTTATTATTACATTTATTAAAAAAAAAAAGGTAACTTTTCCACCGAAACTTCAGTGGAAAGGTAAGTAAAAATTTATTAGGGGAAGTTTGCCCTGAGGGGTATTCCCACAATTTTTTTTTTTTTAGCGTCGTCCAGCAACAGAGCAAGAGTAAGAAGCAAAAAATAACATTGTTGTTAGCCATTTGCGAAGGAAAGAACAAGTTCTAGAGATAATTTAGATACATAAAATTACTTTTTTATCAAATCTTTTTCATGAATATTTTTTTTTATATATTTTTAGCTTTCTAATAGCAGTATCATTATAGTGATTAGAG